TGGTAACCTCACGTTTAGACTTCTGTAATGCGCTCTACATGGGGCTACTTCTGTACTTGGTTCGGAAACTACAGTTGATTCAAAATATGGCAGCCAGACTTATATCGGGAACATCCAGGAGGGATCACATCAGTCCGGTTTTGAGGTCCCTCCACTGGCTGCCTGTTGGTTTCCGGGCCCAGTACAAGGTGTTGGTTATCACCTTTAAAGCCCTAAATGGCTTGGGTCCAAGCTACATCAGGGACCGCCTCCTCCCATACAATCCTCCCCGCGCTCTCCAGTCCTCTGGGAGGAATCTGCTGCAACCTCAAAAATCTAGGCTTGCATCTACCTCCCAGAGGGCCTTTTCATTTGTAGCTCCCAGGCTCTGGAACGGCCTGCCAGATGAAATCCGTCAATTAACCTCTTTGGATAGCTTTAAAAAGGCAATCAAGAAGGATCTCTTCCGGCAGGCCTTTCCAGATTAATACACCCAGCCTCAAGACCTGAGACCTTATAATCTCTCTTTTGAATATCCAGTAACTCCCTTAGCAGGGGTGTTGTTTGTTGTATTGTTGTAGTGTATTTCTTGTTTGTATGAATTGTTTTTATTTAAAACTTTTCTATTACTGGTTGATTTTACTGTTTTAAATTGAATCGGATTTAATAATTTTTTAAGGGGGGAGGAGGGAATCATATTGTTTTAGATGGTATGTATTTTACTATTGCTTATTGTTGTTCACCGCCCGGATTGATTCGCCATAGGGCGGTATACAAATAAAAATTATTATTATTATTATTATTATTATTATTATTATTATTATTATTATATACTTGTATGTTGATGATGACTATAGGTTATTTGGCTGTGGTACTGGCACTAAGGATTTACATCAGGGGTAGGCAACCTTTCCCCTTCAAGGGCCAAGGGACTTTAGCTCCCAGAACCCTCAGCCATGTTGGCAATAGTACCATGTTGGCCAATAGCTCCTGGGATTCTGGGAGTTGAAGTCCCTCGGGCCTTAAAGGGGACAGGTTGCCTACCCCTGATTTACATAGTAGAAGGCACCAAGAAACCAGATGAGAATCTGTGGCTTGATGACAAAACCAGGCAGATTATCTGGAAAGTGCTCCTTGATCTTTCCTAGTGAAGCACAGAAAGGTCATCCAACTTGGTACTGACAATAGGACAATGGTTAGATGATGCATCTTTACAACTCGATGAACCAGCTGTGCTGAACAGCTGGAAGTTCAAGTGCATATATATTATCTAACACAGGTTTACAAGCTGTAATCTTATTTAGGAAAAAAAGGGAAAACAGCTCTAAATCTCTGGTACAGAAAACTTTCCTAATTTTAAAACTTCATTTTGTAAATAGTAGGCTAAGATTCATCTTCCACAATGAGACCTACTAAATATCTATATCAGAATTCTGCTCTTGCAAAAGGACATATCAGTTTATATCAGAATTCTTATTCAAGGCACTTTGAATCCCATGCTGGGAGAGATTTGGGATATTAAATAAATAAATAAATATTAATATTCCGACCAGGCAACCTTGCAGCTGTTTTTCTTTTACTTAAGCTAGCTGTAAACATCTGAAAATAAAGCATGAAAATTCAGCTGCTACACAGTCAAAGGTTCACACAAAGCTACTATTCTGCAGGCAAGCTAGTTTAAGGAAAAAAATGGTTGAATTGCCAATAGTAATTCAAGAGATGGTATCCCTCTTGGACTATCTCTTTCCCACTCCACTTCATACATAGGAGGTACAACAAAATGTAGGTCCCCAGCCCAGATGCTGAACCACTTACTCAGGTCTGTATTTTTGTCTAGGCCAGAATTTTATCTCCACCCTTGAATGCCCAATAGATATCTACACTGAGATTCAGATTCAAGGAGAGTAATTCAGCAGTTGCTCTAGAAGAGGAGAGTTTTATCCAGCAGTTAACCTCACCATACCACTTACACACCTTCTCTTTCATTTTCTCAATCTTCTTGACTGAGCTCCGTCTGACGTGTTTTTCTTCAAACTTGACACTGGAGGCTGAATCAGGGGAGCGTGGGGTTTGCTTATCCTCTTGCTTTACAGACTTGCCAATCTGCTTTTCTTCCTGCTTTTCTGCCTCTTTCAGCTTGCTCTGAGCACTGATGCTGTCAGCATTGTACATGTGATAGGTCTTCATCACCTGTAAAAGTCAAGTCAAACGCATGTTTGGTACCCACTCAGAAGAGAAGGACAGAATTTTATGCACACTTATAGACCTACAGGACATATGACTTGTTCTAGGATATGTGATTGTTTGTTGTTGTTGTTTGCCTTCAAGATGGTTCCAACTTATGGCAATCCTAAGGCAAATCTACCATGGGGTTTTCTCAGCAAGAGTTATTCAGAAAGGATGTGGCATTATACTCCTCTGACAATGTGACTTGCCTGTAGTCACACAGTCAGTTTCCATTGTGTGGGGCTTTGAATCCTGGTCTCCTAGAGCTCTAGTTCAACACTCAAACCACTACAGTGCTTCAATTTTAACTCTTATTTCAATTAGAGAAAACAGTTCTGCTTATCTATAAACATACTCTTTTATATTCTTCATAGAACTGGACAGACCTCA